ACTAACAAGGGGATAATCTTGAACCATCCTACTGTGGTGTCTCCGCTTTTGCTATCGCTGTGCATGTGTTCCTTTAGCAGGCCGTTAAAATTTTCACAAATCGAAAAGCTGATCTCTCCCATAATCATGGAAAACACGGCCTTGTATTCTATTCGAATGGACATCCTTTTTAATTTGGTATTTTACAACGTAAATTCGAAAACAGATAATTTTCGCTTTGATGATTTGGCAGAGTATGTGCCTTCCGAAGTATGCTGGCTTTTACGGAACATTGGGCTAGACTTTGATTATAGCCCCAACTATCACCATGTTGAGTCGTTCTTTTCACTATCCGATGATATATTTAGACAATCCCCCAAGTTTGCACTGCTGAAAAGGCTGCTTTATTCTTCTCACTATAGTGGCAATCAATTTTTTAATGAAATTGCGGCAAGGTTTCATCTCCCAATTGCCAATCAATTTTTTTTGGGACAAGCATTGGTTTGTTCAATAGCCTGTCTGACGGCTTATTTGTTTTCCAAAGTTTTGTATTTCTTGAAGTCTAAATCTAACGAGCTGCCGCAGAGATTCCATTTCCTTTATTACTGTCTTAGATATGTATATTCTCTTTTGGACTATCCGTTCTACACCCTGAGTGATGAAAAAATCATTTTGGACCCTTCGTTTTCATTTTCTACATCCTCGTTCAACTTTAAATCGATTTGCACGCTTTTGATGATTCAGTTTGAAACCCTTATTACGGTTACCTCTTTAGCCCATATTGGAAGGCCCTCGACCGGCTTGGTTAAATTTTTCACGTATTTACAAAGCATCAACCTGTCTTCTATTGATATTGCCTCCATCCTGGCTTATCAGAAAAGATGGCACAATTTAAATGCCAAAATTCCAGATTTTGACTACATCCTCCATTTTTCCGTTCTGAGGTCTCTCTTCAACAATTCTCGGTACCAATCTTCTCTTTCAAGGAGCCTTGGATATCTGTTCATGAAGAAGACCGACCTCGATATTTTCAAGTAAGGCTGTGGCATTAATTAACGTATTAGCTACCCGATTTCCCTGCCATTGTTATATGTGGCATCGTATCCCATCGGTGAAGAGTTAATTCACCCTGACATAGGGTATCCTGACCTTCAAATGGACACAGAGGACAATGTTTCCGCTGCTAACCACCAAACATCCACATGGGATAGGCTTCCTGTGCATTGTAGATATTTTTTTTTGCGGCTTTTAAAGCCATCTATGCTTTCAACGGCGATTTCTGGAAATTCTCACTGTCTTTCCACCTCAATGGCAACACGTGTAAACGTTCAAGTTGAAGATGCAGAGTCTCATCATAAGAAAATCGGGGTTTTAGAGTTTAAAAAAACAGGGACCTCTTTCCAGATTCCAGAAACCTGCTCCATCATGAAGCTTTTTTCGTGCATGGGCGACCAGGGGATCTTTTCGGCAGATAACGCTTTCGTAACCTTTTTGCCCATTTCTATCCCACGCCTTGCAGACGTTTCTGAAGATTTTATTGTGCTGCATACCAAGAAATCATCGCAGAAAACGCTGTTTTCTTGCTCTCCCAGCCGTTTCCACAATGTCAAATTTCCCTATCTTCCTTTGGAATTTAGCGAACTTGATTTGGTTTCGTTTAGGCCGATATTGGAGTCTTTTTCCTCAACATTGCGGTGTTCATCAACCATTGCTTATTCTTTGATCGGCTTTTTTGAAAATTTGATTATGGAAAACGAGGATCAAATGATTGCTGGCCATGGCCTATCGATCAGCGCTTTAAGAGACGCCTCAAGAATGCTTCAAATCTGCCATTATTTATATGCCACCGACAGATTGGATGAAGCAAATGCATGGTTAAAGATATATTTCGTGGTATCTTCGACCATCGACTGTTCGTTGTTGGAGTTTAGAAGCGAAATACTTGCAAACATGCGACATATTATCGGCCCCAACGACAGCCAGTTTTTCAAAATAATTTTACACTTCCTTTCCAAAGTGCATCCCAAAAACTTGCTTTACATCTTCTTTGCCAGACTTTGATTGTATAAATAAATGTTACAAACAAACATACGTTTGCATCTCTTCCACGCATGCAGGCGCCAAAAATTCATTTTATTGCATAATAGAGCTTCAAAAAATGCCCAACACATCCAACTATACAGCCATACAAAAGTACAAGTACACACGATAAACCCTGACTTAGAAACAAGCTTTGTATGGTCATATTAACAAGGCCGGTTAACAGATTGGCAAATAAAAATGTAACAAGTGGCGAGTAATTGATGGCCTCAACAAGAGCATCTCCAAATTGGATGTTGGGTATTTTTGGAGCTCCTTCTTTCATGGGCCGCTCTGATGGAGCATTCAAACACGATCTTATTGTGGTTGAGAGAATAGAGTGGTATAATAGAAAAAAAACGGCCCAAAATACAAATGCACAATTGCAAAGACGTCTAGAGGCTGTCGCAACAAAGGCGTCACAGAAAAAATATGCCATCAAGAATAATGGCGTCAAAAACATCTTCTTATTGCCAAAACACGATCCATAAATGATCAAGTAAATGGAAATGTAGCCTAAGAAATAATTTTTTGCAAGCAATACCGGGTAAGCTAGCAATTCCTTCCTTATTCATTAAGACAAAGTCGGTAAACGAATCCAAGCGAACGGGCCTTATTTCATTGGACAGGATGATGGGAACAAGATCAAAAAGATAGAAAATGATGTCGCATAGGAAAGAGATAGCCAAGCCAAGACCTGAAGATAAATGAAAAGTCGTTACCAATAAAATAAAAAGACGATGGCGGAAGATATCTGCGGATGAGATCACAAAATAAGGCAATCATAGCAAGGGAGAGGAAAAAATTCCAGTGGATGCCGTATTCCGAGACATGCTCTGGATATCCGACAAGTTTGAGGGAAATTAGTCGCAATAGGCTCAACGCCAAAAGGGGTCCAATTCGCAGCAGCAAGTTTGTGGAAGGCTTGCTTGCCAAATGCGTGGTGCTTTTCGCTCTAAGGTTTCGATAGCTAGCGTTGGCGGCGTTGATTCCGATGTAGCACCCGACGCCAATATCCATCTACAATGTAACAAATGCCAAATACCAATGATATTCCGTACGTTTCGGTCTTTGCAAATCTGAGAGGATAAACGGAAAAATCGACCGCAAAAATCGAAAGATAGGTCTGGAAAAATATGGATGCTCTAACAGTGGAAAGCTCAAAGTTGGAATGAGGGATCCCAGTAAAAAATCGCTTTTTTGAGCACAAGAAAAGAAACAAGCAGCAAAAAAACATCAATGCGTAAAAGTACAAAAGAAAGGACGGGTTGACGAGGATCACAACATGAAGCGCGACGATGAAAAAATTCTCCATGCACAATCTAGCAAGCGGCGAAAATGTGGACCATTTGACCCCCAATGTGGGAAGAATCACATTGAGAAAGGAAATTGATGCCTAGAAGAAAGGACGCAACGATGTTACATGAAACATGCTGGTTATCAGGAGCACCTCGATCATGCTGCCTCCGGACAAGTTTGAGATGCGCTCGATCTGCAGCCTGCGATATTGGGCCCACTCCATGTATGTTTCTGTAAAATTAAAGGGGGATTTATTATTAACAGCGAAATTTGGAGCCTTAATTTTTGGGCCCACCACAATTTGATACAAACGCTTGGCCATTGTGATGAACGGCATTGGCGAAAAGGGGCCCCGGGTCGTACGATATTTTTATCGAATTTGTACACAGGTCTACAGTTACTTCAATTGGATGGATGGGTACGTTTGGCAGAGTTTTTGAGCAGAATCGAGGAAAAATCTTCGCCTTCTGGCTCCGAGGTGATGGGGTTAGCATCGCCGACAAATGGAGATGGAGAATACAAAATGGGACATGCATCCTTCCTCTGCTGAAGGATTTGGTCCAAAAAGTGGACAAATGTTGGTGCATCGTTTGGCGCTGAGGGGGCTGGCATGCCGGTCGTTTTACAAACCGAATTCGCAGTGGCATCTTCAGACTCGGGAACGTGAAATTGAAGACTGCGCATGGGGTCATATGTATGGGGATATGCCTGTGTGGGCAATAGGCAGCACATGTCATTTGACTAAAACGTCAGCAAAAGTGTCAATGTACCTCCAAAATCCACCAAGGGGACACGATCGGAATACTTCTGCTCTTGGCAAGCCTAAACTCGCGAAATCTTTCCTCCGCTTTTGCGCCCTCTATGTGAATCAATAATTCCAAGTGTACGATGCACAAAATGAGTGACTTGCGAAGAAAACGACCATGTGATAACTCCACCACGCTCTTCCACAATATCAACGTACTCGGATCGTCGATGCTAACACATAAATAAATAGCCCAGTCAATTACCCAAAGACGCTGAGAGAAACATATTACACATCCCTTGAATAGGGATAAGCTTGCCTTTTGATCCCGGTTAGGGAGATCAGAAAAGGCCAGCCCAGCTCGATGAAGCCCAAATGCAATATTGGATTTGAAATCTTGAGAAAATGTTGGGGACGAATATTCTGAAGACACGTCGTTTTCCTTGTAAACCGGTATATTGGAGCGTGTATCTTCGTTAGAAAGCAAGCTGCTCCTTCTTTTGTTGTTCGCTTTCAAATGCGGCGAATCGGGCATGTCCTTTAAAGGCTGATGGTGGAGGTCGACGTTATTTGCAGACGAATTTCCTGCAAAGCTTGTGATTGATTTAAAGAAAAAGTCAACTTCGTTAGAATGTAGCTCCTGGGATGAGATCGGAATAGGGCTAGGCAAGAAATCGTGCTTCTTCGTAACACAATGATCGGTCTGTCGGTCTGGCTGTCCAATTTTCCTGTACAAAGAGGTGAAGTTTTTTTTAGAGCCCAAAATAAAGGCATCCAAAGCGGCCGGGTCGTTTATATGGGCCCCCCCAAATACGAACCTAAAAATTACAAATTCACGTGTACCTAAAATCAAGTGTCGGTAGGCCCCATTTGCAGGCGGCAATGTATTTTTGAGAATTAACCAAAGACTCGCTAAGCTCCGGGCTCTGTGGGGTGCCCAACGATTTACTTCCATTGACACAAAGAAGTAAATCCATATTTTTAGTAAGATGGGTATGAACCGATGAGCACCCAATCGAATTCAAGTATGCTGTGATGTAATCCCTTTCCAGCCCTTCAAAACCGGTGAGAGATATCGATATTTTGTTTGCAAAAATAAAATTCGACCCAACATCCACATATAGCCGAAATGGGCGAAAGAAGATCGAAGATTCTGGATCAATAAAAAGCTCCCTCTGAAGAAATATTGCAAAGCAAAGATACCTGAACGACCATCTCAAACCAATGTTCGGTCACATATGAAGAGCCTTGGACAAAAGAGCAAAACTCCCACGGACAAATTGTTATCCCGGTGCATTTGTTTGCGACGAAATTTCCTCCATGGATGCGCACCAGTTTTGCCAGCTTTAATTTCTATCGATAAGAAAATCCTAATAGCAAACTTTGGATTCCTCAATGTCAGTGCTGCTGAAAACTAGGCCTGAAAATATTTTTGCTTGTGCGTCTGATAAAGCAGGCATTTGGTGTTGATTTTGTTGGACGGTTGGTTGATTCAATGTCACCAAATGGGTGTCATCACATACCGTGTCTACATGAAAAATGGGCGAATTCAAACTTCCCGCAGAAATGGAATCGTGAATCCATTGCACACGCACAATGGGAATGTTCCATCTGGCGGCATAGGTGCATTTTGGCCCATTATCAAAGCACTACAAAAGGCACATGCCAAAATTACCTCGGCAATCAAATGGGTGCATGAGCGTGTAAGATCACACGAATACGAGCCTCCATTGTTTTCGATCAGCATTTTAAGAGCCTCTCTCGTTTCCAACGGAAGGCCGGTGATACAAATTAACACCCCAGTCAAAGGCTTGATCCTGAAATTATGCAAAAGTTCATCCTAAAATCACAAGGGTTAAATGGTACCGAAGCCGAGCCTGTCAAATCGACTTTATAAATAAAATCGCAGTGGATGACCGGAATTTTCAACGTCAAAACGGCCATCTAGGAGTTGGAGATAAACAGGGCACTTTGTATTTCTCTGTGGGTTCTGCCTTTCGAGCGAGCAAGTGGGTAACTCTGTTGGTCAGATGCCTGCTAAGAAGCCCACCGTATTTCTCAATGATCCCGGCAAGTATTATCTACGGTAAGAAACGGAATTACCCTTTCGTTGGGGGGAATTCCAGTGCAGCAGAACACATAATTGTGCAGCAATGAATTTTTGCAAAGAACAAAAGGAGATTGGCTTTCAAAAACGTCTTGCGAGAGACGAGATATCCCAGCACCATTCGGAAACGCGGGAAGCTTCGAGGCCACAACCGAGTTGCTTTGAAGATGCTGCATGAATTGTATTTAAAAAGGATTTAAAATAAAAAATTTTCAATGTCCACAGTTGCTCATCAATATTCTGCGCCCCCCTCGATGGCTCCACCGACTTCCGGAATCGTTGCCGGCGAGGGCACTTTTGTGGGCGTTCCCTCGTCAACTCTTTATGTCCAGAATTTAAATGAGAAATCGTCGATTTCCCTGCTCCAAAAGGAGCTTTTCTACGCATTTTGTCCCTTTGGAAAGATTCTGGATATCAAAATCAAAAAAAACATGAAAATGAAGGGACAAGCTTTTGTTGCTTTCGATTCGGTAGAAGAAGCCTCAAAAGCTCTTGTTGCTCGTCAAGGAAGCATAATCTTGCACAAGCCCATTGTTGTGCGATTCGCTCGGTTTAAATCCTACATTTCTTCAAAAAAGGACCAAGATTATGAAGAGCAGCGTTCTAGGCAAGATGAATACAAAAGTACCTTTGCAGTGTCTAACATCTATTATAGGGAGCCAGTCTGCGATCCAGAAGCCAACCAGGTCACAACTGTTGCATCAAATCTCGACGTCCCAGTCGATTGGTAATATTGTTGGCTTTATTTTAGGCTCAATTGGTGTTGGTGCTGACCTGGGTCTGCCAAGCAAAATTTTATTTGTACAGAACATCCCCTCCTTGGAAGCCCCGGAAGAAAGGCTCAACTCGCTCTTCGCGAGCCACCTTGGGTTCAAAGAAGTTCGTCTGGTGCCCTCCAAAAAGGATATTGCGTTTGTAGAATATGAAAATGATGTTTTCGCAAATGCTGCTCGATTGGCGCTCGATAAATACCAGATTTTACCTTCTCACGAGATTCGGGTAAGCTTCAGTAAAAAATAGTAAAAGACGGGTTTCGCAACCAATTATGTGCCAACAAAAATCGCCTATTAATATGCGATCGATCTATGCTCTTTACATACACACCGATTAAGATAAAGTTAAAATCGGTGCTCATTCGTTGGCCTCATTCACCCCATGAATCTGAGATGGAATTATGATCGACAAATAGCCAAAAGCATGTTTTTTGTTTCCATTTGTGGCTATCATTTATGCATTATCTCGAGATGTGCAGTTGGATGTGCAGTTGGATGTGCAGTTGGATGTGCAGTTGGAATGCTGCCAATCAAGTCCGTCTGAGCGTGCTTTTACATTTGCCGTTTTAAATTACAAATTGATTTGCAATTTAATTTATCTCTGAATGAGGGAAGATCTTTTGGCTCAGGCAATATCATTTCTAATGGATGCCAAAGTAAAGTCATCGCCGCTATCCAAAAGAATTACTTTTCTCGAGGGGAAGGGGCTTACATCGGAAGAGGTTGAAGAGGCACTTAAGCGAGCATACCCTGAACAAGAAAATCCACAGGATAAAAACAAAGTAAATTCATCGGAAGAACAAAAAATAATTGCATTTCCAAAAGAAGACGTTCCACAAAAACAACCAAAGCTACCTGAAAGAGTTGTTTATTCAAAAAGAAATCACACAACACCGTGGAGTGACATTCTTATTTGGGGAACTCTAGCTGGCGGAGCCTCTGTATTGATTGCTTCCTATGTAACGGTACCCACAATGGTGCTTGATTTTTTCCATTAGAATTTGTTTAAAAATTGGATCACTGGATGGCCATTTTTGAAGTCTGAATCGGATCGCCTGTTACAGGAAATTAATGAACTGAAAACATCAATTGATCGCATTAAACTTGAACAGCAAGCTTTAAAAGAAAAGGTCTTTGACCAATGCGACTCTATGAAAAGGTTGATTGATGAAAGTAGAGAAAAAATACAAACGTGGTCTAATTCGGAATTTGAAGCTCGAGCTCAAATAGATTGCTTGACAGAGTCAATAGAGCGCATAAATAGACTTCTTCCTCAAGTAACTGCCTTTTTATAAGATAGGTGCAAAACTCTGCCAACGAGCAATTGCGAGAAAGTATCAAAGAATGGGAAGGGCAGTTGATATCATTAAGAGCACTGATTTGCTCACAAGGCGATGATATCTTGGTTTCCTCAAAAGAAAAAGAGTCGAAAATTCAGGATGCAATGCCATTGCCTGCTTGGCAGTCCGATCTTTCGCTTGGAGCTATCAAGGAGCTGGTACTGTAGTGCGCAGGTGAAAATATAATTCGTAATTTTAATAAATCAAAAAATTTCGATTTTATAATTTCATGTCCAAAGTCACTTCGCTCCTCGTTGCAGTCACTACATTTGTCGTTTTCTTTGGCACTTATATGCTTATTACGGGGCAAATAGAATATTTTGATGTGGCTTCATTTCTGCTGCAAGTTCATCCTTACTACTGGGCTGCAATCGGTATAGCAGCATGTATTGGACTGTCTGTCGTCGGTGCGGCCTGGTACATATTTCCATTGATTTCTAGGGGAATCTGGATCGTTGGATCGACTCTTTCTGGGGCTGCCGTTCGCGACCACCGAATCAAGATGAAAAATCTAATTTCAATCCTTTTTTGCGAAGCGGTCGGCATTTACGGGCTTGTCATTGCCATTGTATTTTCCACGCGGATTTCGGGGCTATACGCAGTTACGCCGACAAATATTTACACAGGTTTTTTCATTTGATTTACCGCAGGATTCGCCATATTCTGGGGTGGGTTGACTGTCGGGTTTTGTGATTTTATTTGCGGCATCGCAGTTGGAATTTCCGGCTCGTCTGTTGCGCTTGCAGACGCACAGAATCATTCTATTTTCTTGAAAGTGCTTCTAATAGAAATTTTTGCCTCTGCAGTCGGGCTGTTTGGGGTGATTGTAGGGCTTCTTCAGGGGACCAAAACAGATGGCTTTACGTCGATATTGGTTTAATTCCTTCTGTATTTTATCATTAAATATTCACGCCGACTCGCTAAGCCATGTAAACTTTTGCATAGTCTTTCTGACAACTTGGAAGATTAAGTGATACATGAGGGCCTCAATTCTTTATCTCTTTAATGCGACAAATTAATATATCGATTGAGTCAAAGTCCAGGGTACATTTCACTTGATCCCAGCATGCCTCTAAATTTCAAATTAGGGTTAGAGTTTCTTCTTTTCCATCGGTCCATCCGTTCCAGCTGCATACAGTTGGTAAGTACAAGGAACCAAAATCTAAAGTATAAATAGAAACTAAAAGGCACAAGTTTATTATCCGTTCCAAATTAAAGGACTTAATTGTGATTCATTAATAGATCATTCGCGCAGATTATTCTTAAAGGCTGGATTTTCAAGGAACTACTTATCAATGTCTTAAATGGTGGGTTGTATCAATAAATGATCAAATAACAAAGGTACCATGAGCCAACAAAGTGACACGTAAGCTTAGAGTGGGCCCATTTAGGTTTTTAAACATGCTTGGAACCAGCTACTTGATCAGATGACTTTTCTGATTGATTTTGACCAAAAAAGAGACTCGGGTTTCGAGTCGAGTCTTTCAGGTCGAGCTTTTCGACACATAAAGAGAAATTTACATGCCAGAGAAAGCTATAAAATATCTCGATTCAGCTCCCAGATCTTGTCGGATGTTGCACTATCAAGTCCTTTCAAGAGAGCCCTAAATGTAGAGCTACATGGTCCCATCACGCTGCCCGTGGGAAGATTTATCCAATTTTCTAGAACTTGAAAGTAATTTTAATGTCAACAGGGTTGGGCGAACCATGTGGTGCATCAAAAATCATTAATCGCATCGGCACGGTGTAAATTTTACTATTTAAAATGGAAATCGAGATTGCAGAGGGACTTTGTAAGCAAATCATACGAGCCGCACCTTTGGAAAAGTCTCCACAGCCGGGAGACCGCGTGCTTGTTCATTATACCGGGTCATTACTAGCAGATGGCTCTACTTTTGATTCTAGTCGCACTCGCGGGGAACCATTTTCCTTCATTCTTGGCAAGGGCGAGGTCATCAAGGGATGGGATTTGGGAGTTGCTACGATGCATCGCACTGAGCGCAGCAACCTTATTTGCGCGCCAGAAATGGCATACGGAGCTACAGGATCTCCACCAGCGATTCCCGCAAACTCTACCCTTATTTTTGATGTATGCTTTTATGGTTTTATCGTCATCAGGTAGAGCTTCTAGACTTTTATGCTGAGCCCACGACTGTGGAAGAAGCCGTGAATGTGTCAGAGTCTATCAAACTACAAGCTAATGAGCTATATGGCGGAGGCTCGTTTGCAGAAGCTGCTAGGCTTTATTCAAGGGCTCATGGATACCTGAAAAAGTTTCACGTCACCTCGCAACTTTACACGTCGATCTTGCTAAATCTTCTTCTTGTCAATAATAAGCTTGGGGCGTATGGCGATAATATTAGGCTTGCAAATGAAAACAAGGTACCCATCACTAGTTGACGATAGAATTTAATCTCTTCAAGCGTCAAGGGACTTCTCCGCCTCTCCATTGCCCTTGATGGCATGCATGAATATTCTGCAGCATTATTGGAAGCTGAGAAGGCCAAGAAGCTAAATTCACAAGTTGATCCTGCAATTGATGCTCACATTGCTGTCATCAAGACCCACATAGCTGAACAAGAAAGGAAAGAGAGAGCGGCCTATTCCCGCCTTTTTTAATAAAATTTAATGGATACCAATAGCGGCACCCGCCGTGAAGATCCTCCGGTCCCCGAATACGAACAACATGTCCAGGACCTTGATGGGGACAAAGTTAATATAGTGACGGAGCAGAATGACCCTGTTACGCGTGCTGAAGCTTTGGATCCTCCTTGTACTCATGACGTTCAGGTGAACGGAATGTGTGCCCTATGCGGGAATGATCTTTCTACGAGGTTTGGACACGCCATCTTTATGCATGTAGCGCGGAGCTGTTTGCTGATCGAAGAACAACAATCGAACTTGTATCGGGCTCTTCGGCACCAATGTCTGTTTCTGTCTCCCTTTCTGTAAGACGTAATTTCCTTCTCTCCAGGAGGCGCAAAGATTGGAGCGCGCCACAGCAGCACGACTCATAAAGGCCCGGAAGCTATCGCTTGTTGTCGATTTGGATCAGACTTTGGTTCATGCCACAACGAGCTCTCTCGTTGATTCCTGGTTCATAGAGAATAAACCCGCCTCCGAGTCGCTGTGCAAGGAAATGGATATTCACAGGGTTATTCTTGAAGACGATGAAAGCGGGATTCCCCACTATATTAAGCTTAGGTAGGCAATATCCCGACTTTCCTGCAGAAACACTGTCCATGGCTTTTTAGAACGAATTTCTAAGAAATTCGAGCTCCACATATACACGATGGGCAGCCATTCTTACGGATTAGCCGTAGCTCGGCTGCTTGATCCTACAGGGACCTTTTTTTTCGACCGAATTGTGACCAGAGACCATACAAAGGGCATCTAGTGGAGATTTTATCATAGACTGGACCAAAAAGGAGCTCTCGAGAATTTTTCCTTGTGAAGATGCAATGGTTTTGATTCTCGATGATAGGTCAGATGTTTGGACACACTCGCCCAATTTGATTCACGTGCGTCCATGTATGGGCATTGATTTATTGTAGACTTTTTCTTTTCAAACACCGGCGATATCAACTGGCAACAACAACCTGCTCGCCCAGAGAATTCACACGCCGTATTACAGACGGACCCGTCGCAAATAGACCAAGCTGATTCAGCCCTCTCTGAAAAGCATTCTATATCCATCCCAATGTCCTCCAACACCCTCTGGGTCGACTATACGACGCAGAAGGCTGACGAGACCTTGTTTAACCGCATTGAGCAGATCCTCGATGATTTACATGCGCTTTTTTCCGTAATTATGACCGCGTCATTCGGCGCATCATCGAGGGTGGTGGTGGAGATGCTGCAAACGTGCTCTCATCTCCGTCTTCGCTCTTTGGGTCGCCCTCATGTGCCGCGACCAATGGTGTAGATATGAAGGTATCCTGCAAAATTGACCCAAGGTGCTGCTACCGGCGCTCAAGTCTCGCATTCTTGCTGGCGTTTCTATCGCATTTACGGGTGTGATTCCCCTTAACGTAGATCCTACACGGTACGTACTTGAGATTTATTCTCCCTGTGGTTAGCTCGGAGATTTGGCGCCGAGCAAGTGAATTTGGTGCAATCTGTTACATGCTCACATTTGACGATACCAATGAGACTGGGGAAGAAGACGACTCTATTTTCTCAATTACACATTTAGTTGCGTCCAATGTAAGTGGCCATTCTTTATGGTAGCCGGAAACGGAAAGAGCGAGGCTTGTGCGAGCGCGCAGGGGATCTTCAGTAGCCATCGTGCGCCTTCAATGGCTCTGGGATTCTATATGGAGTTTCCAACGACAACCGGAAACCCTATATCTTTGGAACGTATATGACTGGATTCCCATGAATGAGGCTACATTGCCATTAGCAGAGGAAGACGAAGACTTCCTGGCCCAGTTGGAAGCTGAGGACCAGGAAAATTATAATAGAGATGTGGATCTAGATGAAGGGTCACTTGGATCTGTCAACACGGATGAATCTACTAATTTAGAAGACATTACGGAGCTTTCCGCCCCTCGAAAGAGGTCCTCTTCGCAACTAGACGAAGAAGATCTTATTTCGGACAATATCTCTTCCGACACCGACCTCGGCGCCCTTGCTGCGGAGATCTAATAAATAGTTGCATATTTTGGAGAACTAGGGCTAGGGCTGGGTTTACATTTATTCTGTAGTTGAGGGGGGCATCCTGGACCTGGACATAAAATGTGGTGTCTTTCGCAGCAATGGACTCCTAAATAGCTGCTGGTAACCTGTCTCACGTCGAAAGCCAGGATCACGGTCAGTGCTTTTGAACCCCCCAAGTAAATGATCCCGGTCCTCGAATATTTCCTCTCCGTCTATTTTGAATGAATCAGAAAAAAAATCGTCATCAGCTATGGAGTCACTAGGATCAAACGACCGATGATATCTTGTGGCGGAAGAAGGCTTTCCTGTTCGTAACCGGGCCAGAAGCAGGCTTTTTTCGCGCTCCCATTCTGCAGAGAGTTCGGTCAGTCTAGTGGTAAACAAAAAATTAAAAGTCAGAGAAACAAAAGAGAGCGCGGGCTTAATAGGATAACATGAAGAGCAACCAAACTAATGACCATACCTCCGTTCAAAGGCCTTGGTAACCTTGTTGATAAGAGAGCGCTTTTTAAGCGACCACGACTCCTTGATCTGGGAGAGGCGTCGTTTCCATTGTGCATGCATATCCGAGCGTATTTTCTCCTCTGCAAATAGCATGATCTGCTCATGCTCTTCTTCATTCTCCTGGCGAACAGCGGAAAGCTTTGCCGCGGAAAGGTGCCTTTCTGCTGTAAGCGCATCCTCAAGGGCCCGGATTTGTGCATGGAGGCTACCAGGATCAGATACTCTAGATGATGATGACGACGGGGTTTTCCAYGTGGGAATGGATTCAAGTCTAGAAATTTCAGATTTCAGAATAACCTCATTTTCTTCATGCTGTGCCAAAGAACTCCTTAACTGTTGGAGATGCGATTGAAGAGTGGCGTTTTCTTGTCGTTCGCCCTCTAGCGATAGGGAAAGAGCAGAATTCTCTGATTGAAGGGCAGAAATTTTCTCTTCCAACCGAGTTTTTTCTTGTTCAAAGGCATCCGAGGTTTCCTTATGCTGACGAGAAAATTCCTGTTGCTGTTGCGAAATTTTGTGCTTCAAAATTGAATCATGATCTTTGACCTTCTGTTCATATTCTAGCTTTTCCGCCTGCAGTGTGGATATTTTTTCCTGGCTCTCTGACAGTAGCATGTCGTATTTTGTTCTAAGGGATTCAAATCTGGCCTTCAAAAGCAAATAATCGGCAATAGCGGAAGATCCGGAATCCTGGTCTCTGTATGGCTTTTGGGGCTTGGAATTTGATGTGAAGGTTACCGAAGATAGTGTATTTGCCGTAGTTTTTTTTGTGGGATTCAGTGTGCTAACCTTTTGCCGCGAATTGGTGTTTGTCATCTGTTTTGCAGGATATTTTTCAGGAAGCATATCCAAGGAATCCTCAGAATGAGAGAAAGAAAGTGAATTTAGCTCGTCAATATAGCTTATGTGATCATTTGACGTGTCAGGAAGATCCGTGGGAAAATTCTTGAGTTGTTGAAATGTCCCCAACTCGAAAGATAAATCATCACTGTCTGTGTTTTCGTGAGGATGATAGCTCTTCTTTGATTGCGAAGATTTAGATATAAGTTTGTTTGAAATGTCTGCGAGAGGCTTCCTACTGTATGTCGTTCCTTGCTTTGAAGGGGGGAGCGGAGGCGACATCTTTAGCAGGTTTCCCCAATTGGGGCTGATTAAATTGGCGGCAAATCAAAAGTCGAATAAAAATTTTAATTTTAAAATAATTAGCAATGCAAAGGAAATTGTCACACTCAATCCGCCAATGACAACTCTTTTGGTACCTCCCAGCTGAATTGAGCCCTACCAAAATGGCCATAGCACGAAGTCGCCTGATAAATTGGTCTTAGCAGATCAAGTTCCCTGATAATTGCACCAGGCCTGAGGTTAAAGTTTTTCTTCACAACACGCAAGAGCTCGGCATTGGAAAGCTTACCAGTACCATATGTCTCGATATATATGGAAAGAGGCTCGGGAATTCCAATCGCATACGAAAGCTATTGGTTAAAAGCCATCCCTGATGGCTTACTTGGATGAGACATCTTTTGGCCAGACCGGCATGTACAATGGATTTTGCTACCCATCTGGCAGCATATGCTCCAGACCGATCTACCTTGGTGGGATCTTTTCCGGAGAAGGCACCACCACCATGGGCACCCCACCCTCCATATGAGTCAACAATGATTTTTCTTCCCGTGAGGCCCGCATCTCCCTGCGGCCCACCAATGACAAACTTTCCTGATGGCTGAATGTGGAGTATTGTCCTTTCATCGATCAGATGGGTGGGAATGACCTTTTTAACGATCTCCATCTCCAATGATTCTTTCATCGCGGCAAGCGAGATTGATGGCGAATGCTGGGTAGATAGGACAATGGTATGCACTCGTAGCGGCACAGGTACGCCATCCTGCATCTCATATTCAATGGTCACTTGAGACTTGCAGTCAGGAAGAATCCATTCAACTTGTTTCGTTTTTCTTGCAACTGCAAGTGCCTCAACGATCTTGTGGGCCAGCACTACCGTCAACGGCATCAGCTCAGGTGTTTCGTCGGTTGCATATCCAAACATGAGTCCCTGCATCGATTGGTGCGAAAAAGGATACCTGATCGCCTGCGCCAATATCGTCGATATCTGAATGTCCCATTAGCGACTGCGCAATATCTGGAGATTGCTGCTCAATGGCAGATAATACGCTGCACGTTTTGTAGTCAAACCCTACCTAATAAACCGGCTAAACATACCTTTTGATGAATCGTCATAGCCAATGTCTCTGACAACACTGCGAACAAGTGCTTGGACATCAAGAACGGCATTTGAGGTAATTTCCCCCAACACCACAATCATTCCTGTCTTCGCCGCGGTTTCCACTCCTACTCTGGATTTAGGATCCTGAGCCAAGCAGGCATCCAAAATCGCATCGGATATTTGATCGCATATCTTATCTATCAAATTAATGAGTGGTAAGGCTATGTCGGTACCAGGATGGCCTTCGCCCACAGACTCCGATGTAAAGAGAAAAGTATTTGCATGTTTATCGGTGCTGAAGGCGGTTTGCGGATAATGAGCTAAAATGGAGGGGGGTGGGACCATTAGTCGCAAAATAAATGAAATTTCAAAATGCAAATTACTGGAAAGCGTCAATTCGTGTGGCCTGTATCGATGCCGGACCGAACCGCTGGAGTTGTCCAATTCTCTCAAGAGCAATTTGGACAATTTTAAACCTTATTTTTTAATAATAAAATTTTTTCTCTCTGTTCAGGAGGAAGTGCTTCTAATTGCTCCGGGGTCATTCTTCGAATTTGCTCTAATAGTGCCTGCTGTTGATCTGATTTCAATGGGTCTGAGGCTTGAAGTTTTCTAGGATCCTGTGATCTTAGCTCGACAGTATTGGCACCGGACGCCTCTGGAGGTCCTACACTCAAGGCCGAAATGGTTCTTTGAATTGTTTGGGCATCAATTAAGTCCATTCTCCAAAGAATATGAAAAAGAGCATAGGTCAAATGTGGGTTGGATCCCAAAAGGTCTTTGGCTTGTGAGGGTTGAGATTGTGTCAAATTTTTAATATGTGCGAGCAATGAGAAGAGCTGATCTGGAGGCAGTGACTCCAACGCTGTCATCGAAGCGGCAGGAGGAGGCGGCGGTGGAGGTGGTAGTTGTTGTGCAAGCTCAAATTGAACGTGCTGGGGCTGTTGCGAGCCAAACATTTGCTGTTGGTGGTGCATTTCTTGATACTGCCCGCCTTGAAAGTTCGGAGGGGGAGGGGGGAACGAAGAGATGGGGCCATTAACAGGATATTGGATAGCCGCTCCAGAGTGCATTGGAAAGGAGGGCGGCACATTTTGCTGAGGAAAGATACCATGTGGCGCAGCATGCCCCATCATGTGCGAGGCCGGTCCCGCTTGTGGGATAAAAGATTGCTGAAAATAGGGTATTGATGTAGGGGGAGGGGGCGGGGGTATTCCTTGCCATTGTTGTCCATTGTCCATTTGCCCGCTTCCGGGCACCATCATGGGCATCATGACTGGCTGCGAAAGATGAGGAGGAGGGGGAGGACCTCCAGACCCACTTGCTGAGAAGGGATCCCAAAAGGATGAGGAAGGTCCCTGAGATCCTTCGCCATAGTCAGAATTTGGTCTATATATTCTAGCTGCCTTGTTTTCCTTTCTTAGCTCTTTGGGCGCTCCAAGCATGGAATCTGCAAAGTCCAAACGAAGGTTTCGCCCATTAAGCTCGTAGTTCGAGAGATTCCTAACACAAGACCTTGCTGTTTCTGTATCGTGGTACTCGCAAAATCCATAACCTTTTGATTTCCCAGTCTCTCTATCAAAGACAAGTCTAAGAGATCGCACTGGCCCAACCGTACTAAATAAAGACATTAGTTGCTCTTCAGTCGTATCATAAGGAATACTTCCAATAAAAACAACGCTCATTGGTTTATTAAATGTGATCCCAGGTGCATATACGGGAGCGCCTGAATGGGGTTGCGGCGGAGGTGATGAGTTGGACATGAAGGTTGAAATAAAATTTATGCGGAATGTTTAAGACTTTAAATGTCGCAGTTTGGGCCCGCTTTTTATTTTCAAAAAACTCGGTGCTTTTTTGCATACGAATAAAAGCCTTCGCCACACTTTTTCCCAAGCTTTCCCTGCTGGACCATTGCTTGCAAAAGAGGGGAGGGTCTTAGTGATTGGCCGGTCTTATCCAAAGCAGCCCATCCATCGATAACGCTCTTGATGGTATCTAATCCAATAAGGTCCATTAGCGTAAACGGACCCATGGGATATCCAGCGCCCAGCTTCATGGCCTTATCAATATCCTCTTTAGATGCTACTTTTTCTTCAAGGAGACGAATTGCGTCCGTCAAATAGGGGATAAGAAGCTTATTGACAACAAACCCTGGAGAATCCTTGCACACAATTGACTCTTTTCCAAGACGCTTGACAAATTCCACAAGAGACGAAAGCTGGATGTTTGCATGCTCATTTTCGGGGTTGGCCTCTTCATTTGCTCTCACTATTTCAACGAGCTTCATTTTGGGGGCCGGGTTGAAAAAATGCAATCCGAAAAGCTCCCGCTTTGGCATGATAGATTGTGCGATCCTGGAGATACTCAAAGAATAGGTATTTGAAGTAAGAATCGTATGTGGCGCCAAAACAGGAGACCGCGAAATACTTGAAAAAAGCTCCAACTTGGCCGTGAGGCTTTCAACTATTGCCTCAATAACCAAGTCTGCGCCCTTAATTGTGTCGTCTATATTCTCTCCCTGATATATTCTGTTAATAATATCTTGAAGCGCAATACTTTCTCCAACGTCTGAACTTGTAGTTGCAGAGGGATCCTCGCCAAGTTTTTCTTTTAAAGATTCAACGCCCTTCACCAACTTTTCTGTATTGGGATCAAAAACCCGAACTGAAAGGGGAGTTAATGCTAATGTTGTAACCATTGATGTTTACCAGATAGACAGCACTGGGCAATCCCCTGCCCCATTTGGCCAAATCCGATAACTGCAACTGTCTTTATGGGAGCAATTGAACTCTTCGGTGCTTTTGTTGAGAATGCTCTTGCAAGTGATATGAGTGCCATATTAATTGGTGACGGAAAAAACGACTATTCCAAGCGTATCCAAACTTAATCTTTAAATTTTATTACAATTTAAAATTTGATCCGCAATAGGATTCGAGTGCACAGTTACATTCTCAATGAGTACCGGGGAAACAGGCCTGTAACGCTCATCAACAGGAGTGTCGTTTATCGCCCGGATTACATCCATTCCTTTATCAGCGACCTTAGTGTTGATGCGTTAGCTTGGGCTTACCTTCCCGAAGACGGTGTATTTTGAGTCCAAGTGTTCTTGAGGCGAAAGAGTTATGAAAAATTGGCTTTTATTCGTATTTGGACCCGAATTAGCCATGCTGATAACGCCGGGTTGGTCATGCTAAGGGAAGAAATAGTCTATGTCATACCTTGAGATTTTCATGTATCTCGTCTTGAAAAGAGGAGCCCCAAATGGAGGTTCCGCCCTTACCCGATCCAGTGGGATCTCCAGTTTGAATTATAAAGTCTTTAATAACTCTATGGAAAATGCAGCTATTATAGTAAGAACTTGCACATAATGCTAGAAAATTCTTTGGAACATAAAAGGCTTAATCATACTTCTGTTGTTTTAGGACACTCTTTGCAATAAAGCTCTACGTTGATCGGCCCAAGGGTGGTATGCAGGGTAACGGACATTGCAGAGAAGAGGCAATAAATTTTATTAAAAACTTAAACTACAACCCAATGGACCGATTAGCCTCGCTCATTGCCAATCAATATTTGGAGCACAACACACCCGCTGGGATCAAGCTATGCTTCCATTTACTCCTACCAAGTGTATCTTATTCACTCCCATGTATGATTGAGTATGTAACAAAAGACGAGCATACAAAGGATGAACCTATTACTCTGGATCAATTGCAGGTACAATATACGTGTATATTTATGCTAGAGGGCCATTGAATACATCATTTCAGAAATTCCAAACGCTCTGGATAGCGATAAAGATGGCATTATGTCAATACCCATTCCTCCTCAGTTTGAGGCCAACATTTGTGTAACCAGGAGGCCACAGTGGATGGACCCGAGTTCAATAGTAATATCATCGTCAAGAAATAAAAAGAATCCATCTTCTAATGACACTATATCTCTGACTCAACTAGGATTCGCTGCAAAAACTTCGCATAAGAACGATGTTAGCTTCAAGGATATTCAACCACACCCTAAAGGAGTACTCAATGTTAAAATAATGAAAAGATCAGAATAGATATGCTGCATAAATGATTTAATATGCCAGTTTTGCAGCTCATCAAGAAAGCGATTGGATAGACCAATCTTGCAGTTTATTAAAGAAACCGCTACAATGTGCAATTTTGACGAATTTAATTGTGTAGCAAAAAGTTGGGAATTTATTTTGATTTACCTTTCAATTTGTCGTCCCTTGCACATGATCGGAATTACTACAAAGATATGCTGCTCTCCAAAAATGATGCCTTTGTCTATTTATAATTTTCATATCAAAAATCACTTTTCAAAGTGTGTAAAATCTCCGAGACAGCAATCTGTTGGCGAATCCCCGGTGGCAGAATCAATGGCTCAGCAGGAATCCATCGAAAACATTGCCGAAAAGATCCGTGAACAGAAAAATAAAAACACGATCAATGAAATTGAAATCCCGTTAGCAGCACACGCTATTCAGAATGCTGGATTTTCCTCCACACCAAACTCTCATGGTCCGCAAAGGAACTCCTCATCAAAGGGCCAATTTGGAAACTATTTCTCATCCGGGCTCTCTTTTGAACAATGCAAGAAAGAATTTTCCCCAAAATTTCAAAAGACTTTTTCATATTTGGGGGGAAAATGCACAGCAATTTCTTTTTCCCAAGCTAATGAAATGACGATTTCGTTCCTCAAGGCATTTGAAAAGAGTAAGTTAAAGTCGCCATCTGATTTTTAGTTATCTTTCAAAGGATATTGCACTTTCTCGAAACGCTCCAGATTATTTTTCGAAGGATTTGGAAGGAACTAGATTTATCTCCACCATCAATGGATACCTGGCCTGAGGCTAGGAAGGTTTTTTTGGAGCTTTTCCAAACATTTACGAATCTTGACAGGCTTACCTCAAAGGCTAAAGAGCTGTCGGCAGAATCAATTTCCTCAGCAGCTTTAAGGATTATTGAGGTTTATATTTTTTTCAAAGCCGGCATTCTTCTTGGTGTAGCGCTCAAAAGATCTTTGTTTTCCCATCAAGGAAACTAAGTAAATCTTTCAAAATAGTTGGCCGGTACTGTAATAAGGTATTTTTGTACCACAATGGGGCATTGTTTTTTGGCCGCAATAAGGGATTTTTGTGCTGTACTTGGATAGTTACCACATGCGGGTTTATTCCTTTGTCATGGAAAAGCTGCAACACATAACATCACATGACATGACCTGACATGACATGACCTGACCTGACCTGACATACAAAAGATTCAAGCTCCAAATCAAATGTCCGTGGGTCAGGGCCAGATTTATTGCGGGCAAAGGGATCTCGTACAAACTTGTCCTAAACAATTGCAATTTATTTAATAGCAGCTTGGAGGCAAAAATTTATTGAAAGTCCATTCAATTTGTTCGATGAAGAATCCCTTCCTAGGGGCGCCATCTTCAATCCCTCCGCAAAGGGGATCTTTTGTTCCACCATCGACATCAAAGGTTCGAGTAATACTGCGTGTTCGGCCATTTCTTGCCTTGGAGCGGGAAACAGAGTCAGTATCTGCAATTAGGATGACGGGAAAGAACTCGGCGGAAATTGCAAATCCAAGAAATGCCTCAGAGGCACTGATGTTTTCCTTTGATGGATGTTACGAACCAGAAACCTCAAACTCGGCCCTATTTAGATTGCAGATAAAACCGATGCTTTCCTCTTTGCTTTCAGGTAACGTTGCTCCTGTCTAATCATTGCTAGGCATCAACATGACCATTTTTGCATATGGAAATACGGGCGCCGGGAAAACATTTACAATGGAAGGAACCCCATCCAGTCCTGGTTTGATTCCATTGGTATTGCAGGAATTATTTGATTCCTCCAATAGCTCGGATGTCATTTTCAAGATCTCCTTTCTGGAGATTTACAATGAAAAGGTTTATGACCTGCTTACGGGCTCCGGATTAGACCTGCAGATCAGAGAAGATCAAAATAAGAACATCTTTATTTCTAATCTTACAAATGTCCGCGTCTGTTCATTTGAARAATTTGCCAGCCACTGGGAGACCGCCCGAAGACATCGCAAGTCGGCCTCAACAAAGCTAAATCCAAACTCCAGCAGGTCACACTCCTGCTTGACTGTAACTGTATGGCGTTTTGGTGGTTTTATTTGTTGTAGATTGAATCAGGAATCCAGGGAGCCGGGTGGCATTCCCCTCGTCGAAGAGCCCATCGTCTTGCCAAATTGCATCTAATTGATCTTGCAGGCTCCGAGGATAACCGGAGGGCAGAAAACATCGGAATTCGAATGGTATAAAGCGGCTCCATTAACAAGTCGCTATTTGTACTGTCAAATGTTGTGGACGCCCTAAATGCTGGATCCCCTCGAATTCCGTATCGAGACTCAAAATTGACTAGGCTTCTGCAGGTATTTCATGTGCGTTAACAAAACCAGGATTCGCTTGGCGGTTGCTCAAATGCGCTTATTGTGGCAAATGTTTCGCCAAGTGTTAAACACTTGGCAGAGACTACTCACACTCTAAATTTTGCTTCCAAAAGTAGGCAAATTACCAACAGTCCCGTAATAAACGAGATGCCGCATAAAGGAGATGTCAAAGCTAGAAGGCCATCGCCATTGATCAGCACTCCGCCGGCCACGTCGCTTTCTTCCGATATTAAGGATAACTTTGAGCTTTCTCAAAGGGTTGCAATTTTGGAGGCCAAACTAGGTGCAAATGCAAGCAACATAGCCAGTGAGAAGAAAAATTCCAAAGCATTTAAACAGATCGACAACATGGCATCTCCTGTAAAGCCGGCAAAGCGAAGAAGGCAAATCGGGACCTTTAATGATGACTTGGAGGCTGAAGAAACAACTATAGCATCTTCGCTCTGGAGCTCTATTCAAGAAACGCTGAAAAACGGATCTGGATCGGAGAGCTTGATGGATGACTATATTTTGCTTCTTGCGAATTCAGGCTCTACCTGCCTTATAAAAAAGCTCCCCGGGATCGGCGAAAAGAGAGCAAATGCCATCATTGATGCCAGACTGGCGGGAGGGGGGGCATATCGTTCGATTTCCGAAATGGAAATTCGTTGTGACTTTAAACCAAAGCTCATCTCGTCCATCCGTCAAGCCCTTTTTGTTCAAGCACTGTATGGCACTAGCGGTACACAGGCAAAAGCCGGAGGAAAGGAGAATATCCGAAATTTGTAATCATAACTTTATACAAAACTGCCCCCATTTTTGACCACAAACAATAGTGCCATTAAGTACAGCCATCCGTTGATAGCGATCCGTTTGCTGTTGCAATTTGCATATTCCATAGACATTGGGGCATGGATCGATGTTTTTGGATCGACTTTCAGAGATTTAAATTGCCATTGGAGCGGTATGAATATTTTAGGGAGCAACACATGCAACCGCCATTGGGCCCGTTAGGGCCCAAAATTGCCCTTAAACTGCCTCATATATTGGCTATGTAAAATGTCACACAACTTTCCCCGCGTTTTAAGCTTGCAATAAAATTTTGGTCCAAAGTGTAAAATCATATTTATGGCTAAGCTCCGTAGAGGCAAACGAGCAATATCCCGCTTTACTCCTGCAATTCCTGACCAATTGGGCCCCAAAGCAGCACACTTGCAAGAAAATAAACCTTCAGAGCCGGTTCCCTCTGAGTTCTCCGAAGATGGCAATGTCGTTGCCAGGGAAAAAAAGGGTTATGACCCTGAGCATCCTGTTCGGGTTTATTATGATGGGGTATTTGATCTCTTCCATTTTGGACATGCTCGTGCATTGGAGCAAGCGAAAAAACTGCGTCCATTCACGTACTTGATTGCTGGAGGTATTTTTTATCGCAATTGCCGATTGGAATGCGAGTTTGTTTGTAAACCGCCACGATCGACTCCCCTTGTTACATGATTGCCATATTTTCTAATCCTAGTTTGCAACGACGAGCTTACCCATGCCTTGAAAGGAAAGACCGTGCTAACCGATCGTGAACGCTACGAATGCGTACGACATTGCAAATGGGTTGACGAGGTCATTGAGGGGGCACCCTGGATCATCACCAGTGATTTTTTGGAAAAGCATCAGGTTACGTGAAGGGTTCTTTTTATCGTAGATCGATTATGTTGCCCAAGATGCCACCCCATATCCAGCGGCCGGAGGCATTTCAGATGTTTATGCCAGCATCAAGGCTCAGGGAAGATTTTTGCCAACGCAACGGACACAGGGAATCTCCACATCCGATCTGATTACACGCATCGTGAGAGACTACGACCTCTATTTACGAAGGAACCTTGAACGCGGTGTATCCCCTTCAGATTTGAACATTTCATTCCTCAAACAACGAGAGTTAATTCTGAAAAAGTATCTCGTTCGAATTGGGGCAATGATTAAAGGGTCACGCCGTTCAATAGAAAAAAATTGGGCTGGGACGCAATCTGAGCTGATGGGCACTCTGGATAGTTGGGAGCAGAGATCTCAAGAACTCATTCATAAGTTTACAAAAAGCTACTCCGGGGCCATGGTAAGGTTATCAGCGTTTTATTTTATTCTGTAGTCTCGGCTTTTTGGGTCAGGAAAGAGTGCAGATGCAGCCAGCAAGAAATAAATTTTCAGAGATTTCAGCTTATTGGAGGGGCCTTTGTCGCTTTTCCCATGCCCTTTTAATGGGTGCGGCCATTCCAAGCAACTATGGTTGGATATTCCTACTTACCTCATCTTGGGTGCAACCGTCGGAAATGGATTTGTTGATGTTTGAGATCACTCTGACGTCATTAGGGGTCAGTTTATCTCTCCGCAACCTAAGAAACCGCCAGCCACCATTGCTGACGGCTGTATATGCTATCGAATCATCAGTGTCGCGATGTGCTGCCAAGTTTTCAATGGGCGTCTTCCACTCTGGATCCCAAAACAGCTCTGCAATCGAATTTGCAGTGGGGGGATCATCAGAGGAACCTGTTTCGATGGCCCTATCGATATGGCGTGTAATGCTACCTTTCAAAATCAAGATAAAATAGTCCATAGAATCGATTGACACCGCGATCACCTGCCCAAAGCTCCCAAACGTCGTTTCGGTTTGAATAATCCTGTGCAAGGAGTATGCGAAAATCAACAGAATTTAAGCCTGCTGGCTTCCATTTGAAAAGCTGCTTACAGGTACCCTTGATGTATGGAGCATATACCGGTGTAAATATAAGCCCATCGTTTTCATGCGGCAAAGAAGGGATCACCTAGTTATGATATTAGACCATCTGAAGATGAAATGCTCAAGTCTGAGTATAAAGAAGACACTTACTGTGTTTAAGACATGCGCAATATGGTACGACTTGAAGTTTTCTTTAAGGAGTACTCTAAATGGCGGTTTGTGTGGGCTATCTTTGTGGAAAGATTCCCATGGGCGAATTACACACTTCCAAAGCTTATTAAAGCGTTCAAGTAGGTTACAATCCAACACTGACTGGCCATTGAGAGCAAGAAGATCAAAAAGATATAAAGAC